GACAGAGAAGAAAAACTAGAGAATTTAGACTAGAAAAGAAATCTGCATACAGAAAAAAACAGGGTAACTTTACAAGCTACTAAAAATCCAAATTAGATCATCAATTACTAGTTTATCACCTCCTAAAAGAACATTGAGTAACTTTCAGTTTAGGAAACTTAGTCTCTTACTTGTCCCTTGAGGCTCCCAGTGCCAAGACAATGGGATCAGCAATTTCCAGCATGGACTGAAGTATGGATGCCACCACAATGAAAAGAATAATACTGAGCAGGAACGCCCGATGCACAACTTGGAGCTCAATCAAACCTGTCTGCACAGCCAGGATCAGGAGTGTGACTCCTTCAGTCATTCCCCTGCAGATCAACACAGTCAAAAGAACAATCATTCACATCTGTGTGTCAGTGCTGGTTCAAAAGTACATCTAGAAACACCAGGAAATAAGCTGTTTCTGTCCCAACCTTCCACGTGTCCCTGGTTTTAGGTTTCACTGACGTTCCTGCTAAGGCTCTAAGCAGAGGAGAATGTTTTCAGAACCACTGAAGAGTCTGGGTTAGAAACCAGCAGATTTCAGAACCCTGCTCTTGACAAGCAGCATCTGGGATACATCCAGCTCAGACACCATCCAGCACAAAGCATTTTAAGGACTCAGCATCTTAAGTGGAGGAACACCCCAAGCTCAGTGTTGCCTACACAGCCCTGCCCTCTCTATACCTGGGCACCAGTCAGCCTCATTCTGAGACCACCAGGAAGACCCTCTCTACCTTATACTTCCCCATCACCACTCTCTTGTCTGTCCTTTGGTCATTGATTTAATACCCCACCGGGTGCCCAGTTTAGGCAAATCAGCAATTTTGCCATTTTTCAGTTTATTCCCCTTGTACCAAACCCAAATAAAGCTGTCCATTCTTTTTGGTGTGGAACCTCAGACTGACTTTAATACCTCTGAGGATCACCATTTAGCACCACTGTTTGACACAGTCAAACATATCACCCAGAAGTGCAAGAGTGCAAGGCCAGTCTCTTCGCGAACGAAGAACCGGGGAAGGTCTTTCCACCTTCCAGCCTGCGCATTGGATTTTTTAGGTGAGACACAGTGTGCGCGGAACTGAGCCCACCCTTTAATCCTGAGGTTCATCTGCCGGGGCCAAGCACGCTTGGACGGTGGCAGTGAGGTCCTCAGGACGTAGATGGATTGCCTTA